ACAAGTACACTATAAAGACCATATACAAGAAAGGAACCACAGCAGTCCCTACGGGATGGCTGAAGCACTGCCATACTCTGCCTCTAAGCAATATCCTAATGTAAGTGTATCTTGATAGGTCTCTAAGAGCACAGTGATGTGTGGGGTATTTTTTTCATCCTACTTTTTCATATTTATACCATCTATCACCAACTATATCATCCTCATCAATTTTTAAAATCTGATTAAAACCAGTCAACAGATTCAGAAGCAATCGCACAGACTTTTCTTAAGCAGCAATAATTTTTCTACCTATCAGAAGAAAACCTACATTTTCAGAACTGGGAAGGGGAATACAAACAAACAAAAAAACCCAATTAACCCACCCAGTAAGAGTTGGGAACGTGAGGGACAAGCCAGTTGAAAAGCACTCAAGCAGCACTTTTGGCACTCCTGGAATTATGTGAGTGCTGCCTTTGGCCCAAAGAAACACCTCAGAGATTAAAAAGAGTGAGGTGGTTGGTGTGCACAAAGAATGAGAACAGAAAGCAAGACCACAATACCTTTTTTTCATTATTATTTGCTGGATCAAAATGTAACTCTACCTACCAACATGCCTCTGACAGAAACTGTGACAACGATATGAGATTGTTGAATCTCATGTTTCTGTGCAACACTGGTGGACAGTGTGGACAACGGTGGAATCATTCATGACCTCGGTGGTGAGACAGTAACATGCACAGACTTCTTTACTCATTAACAGACTTCAAGAAGATTTATTTTAATCAACATTCAAGTTTACTTTGCTTGTTTTCATCCTGTAATTGGTAATTCTGTATCCTTAGTGAAATACTGAACAACTTTTCCTACGCTGAAATAGCCCCTGAATATAGTAAGTTTTCATTTTCCTCTTAAAATATAGACAAACCAAAAAAGAGTATCTTTAAGGAGTTAGAATCTGTAAGACTAGAAGCAACATCTTATGACATTTCACACACCATGTCAGATCTGAATCTGTTGTAACTAACATCAAATTAGGACAGTTCTACGGATAGAAACTTTGCTGATATTCTGCTCTATACTTGCTTATATAAATCCATCTTGGCACATTTTCTCTTACTTCTCAAATAAATCAGCCTGCATCTTTTAATTAATAATAGAAAATGGATCCTGGACCTCAGAACTCACGCCACACCAACAACTAAGCAATGTCAGCAGTAACAGTAGAGTATCCAAAAACTTCCAGAAAGGGAGAAAAGGGATGCATAGGAGATGAAAATTAAGATCTCCGAAGAAAGAAAAAGAAAATACACATACTTCTAAAATGTGCTTACTGACTATAATCTGTTTTGGCTCACAGTGGGTTTTAGGTTTATGATTATTACAGGTGTCTATGGATTGAAGGCTGTGGCAAGCAGCTGCAGTCAGGACTGACGTGTGTTAAAAACGACACGAAGAAAAACCTGTTCCTTGCCTGCCTGCAGCCTCCACTGTAGCCACAGAAATCACTTGCAGGCACAGATTAACTTCACAAAGGAATCTCAATTACACTCTCTCTCAGTTGCCTAGAAGATTAATAACACATTAACATCTCAGGCAGTTGGCAGGAAGAATTAACTTCGATCTGATGAAGTTGGGCATACTGCAGAACAAGAAGCAATAGGGCACAGAAGCAGCTCACCTTTAGGACTTCCTCAGAGACATCTTTCTGTAGTTCTTCCAAGAACAATAAGAATTCAGTTTCTCTCTGAAGAGCAACTGGGACAGTTTTCTGAAACCATGTAAGAATGGGAAATATATTAGTCAATGAAACTTTTATTTACATTAGCATATAAACATAATCATAGCTATTTCATTAACACTTCGAGGCAGACTGAAATATCTCTCTGAAGTAACCTAATCCTCAATTAAAGGCTATTCCAATCAGGTCTGCTCTCACACCAGTTGATTTTATTTATCCATACATTTGGAAACAGACCTCATCAAGAATCACAAAATCATCAATTCCTCAGAATGTAAAGAAAAAATGCAAGTCTACATAGTGCCAAGGACAAATAATTTTTAAAAAGAAGTATGCACATCACTCACCATCTAAAGGTTATAAACAATTGTCTGATGCCTGAGCTATTTAATCTTTAATGTAAGAGAGGTGCTGCACAAATGCAGAAGTTGTTACACTCCTGATTTTCATTTATATGAGTGTGAAAAGCTAAAATGTTAACTTCAAATATCTTTAAAAAAATTAGTTTTTCTCTTCAGTGTGAATATTACAGCTCTTTTTTGATAAATTTGTTAAATGCAAAAGCGTGCATGTCTCCAGATACCTTGAGAACTTGGGGAAGCCTACATTTAAATAAGCAACTAGGGAGACATTCTGCACCTGGAAGTCAGAACTATAAGGTGCATTTGGAAATCATCAAGATGTTTCTGTACCTGATTCATGGCAAGCCATTTTTTCAGCACAAGAAGCCAAAGCCATGCAGTTCTTGATGGGCTAGAATTCTGTCCCCGTCTACAAAAGCAAGGAGCATATACAGTGGATTATACAAGAGTGTCTCCATATCCAAGATCCAGGAAAACACTGTCAGAGATAATTTTGATCTTGCATTCTTTGAGTAAGATAAAAACAAAGGCAAGTAAGTAGCCAAAGGCAAAGGAAAAAATGCAGAGAAACCAGAATATTGGTGTTCTTGCACATCAACTCAGTGACTTCTGCTGTGCAAATAACTGCTTTTAGATAGGCCAAATACTACTGGCATAGTTCCTCAAAACAAAGAAATCTAGTTCTGGTCCAAAGTTCAGTCTGTACAGCTCTCTTTGAGCACTTCAGCAGATTTTGTTGAAATGTGACCACTTGCCAAACACTGCTATTTCCTGTTCTGCCTATTTCTACCCAAAATATACCCAACAAAAGCGAAGTTTTAGGTCACAGCACCCAAATGCAGCTCTATATCCAAATTAAAAGTGAAGTAATGTACTAATTAAACAAAGAGTCCTTCTAATTTCCATCAGCATTTCACATCCTCCATCCACTCCAACATCCCAAAGCCTACACAGCTGGGAACATATTCAGCACTGTCAAAGGGACCAGGAAAAGGAGAAAGCACAGTATTGTTTCCTGTCCTTTAAAAATCTCAGCACTATAACTACAGCCTTTAAATGTGACAGCCCAGCTATTAAAGATCAAAAGATTGAAAATTGTTATGTCTCACGTGGCTGTTAGCAATATTCATCTAACCATGAGCCCACCTTCCTCCAGACTCCTTCAGCTGCTGTCAGTGTAAATTGTTTCTCAGAACCTTTACTGAAATGTTACACAAACTTTAATGTGAAGAAGTATCATCATCTGATTAGACAGGGGGAATGTTCCCTGAAGTGCTAGAAAGTCACCCTTTATACACACCTAAATGAAAAAATAAAAAGTAAGAAATAAATAGTAACTGGGATTGAGTAAAACCGATGCCATTCCAAAATACCGTGTGAGAGAAAAAAGAAATCAACGGCATAATTTGAACTTCTTAGAATTGCAGTATTAAAAATGAGGAGACTTTTCAAGAGTTGGAAACAAGATAACATTTTAAATAACTACGCCGGTGATTTTCGTGCTTCCATTTCTAAACGAACCAAAACTCAGTGCCAAAGAAATGTAATTTCAAGAGATGGTCCTTTTCCCTCGGTAAAATCTAACAAAATCAGTTCTGAAATGCTTCAAAGTAGTTTTAAGTTTGTATCAATCACCACTGTCAGCTACATAAATGAACACAACTCGTTATCCCGGTGGGATGGGCAGCCTGCTAGGTCCTTGGTCAGTGATAAGACATCAAAGTTCAGACAACAGCATCACAAGACACCTCAGCACTGAAGTGCTACTTCTCTGATTCTACCTGTCTCCCACAGCCAACACTAAGCCAACTGCTCCTCCCCATTTCACATTCAAGTCTACGGAATCAGAGCAGTACTTTACTCACCTTACCCCCACGGGACAAGCTACCAGAGCCTGAAGAATTGCCTCCACCTTCCCGGGGCCGTCCCCGTGCCAGCGGCTCAGCTGGGGCACGCAGGCCTGTGCAAGCTCCCAGTGCCCACGCCGTACGCACTCACAGAAAAACCCGAAAAGACGCTCCAGAGAGTCCGCTTCTTCATTCCCGAAAGAATGCATCTTCCCGGGACGACAGGATGACCCGGGACGGGGTGACACACACGAGGGCGATGCCGCCCTCCCTGGCGGGGCGCTGCGCTCTACGGCACCGCCCCGGCACCGCCGGCCCACCTCGCCGCCATCTTGGGCGCCGCCTCAGCTGACCGCCCCGCCGGCCGGGCACGCGGGCAAAGCGCCCGCCCATTGGCCGAGCCGGGGCGGAATGTAAATAAACCGCCATGTTTGTTTGGGGCGCCTGACGCCGCCGCCAGAGCCCGGGCAGAGAAAGCCCCGCCCCCACTAACCACGCCCAGTCCCCCGCTCCCACGAGCTGGCCCCGCCCCTTGTTCGTGCCTTGCGGGGCTCTGATTGGCTCTCGCTCGAAGCCCCGCCTCTGTGAGGGGACGGAGGGCGGCTGAGGCGGAGGCGTTGGAGCGGCGGGCTGTGTGCGTAAATACACCTGCCCACGGCCGCAGAGGTGTGCGTACAGGTGTGTGGGGGAGTATATGTACCCCCTGTATAGCTGTACGACCCTGTACATATAGCTCACTCTGGTACACATATACATACATACATACATATATATATACACACCCCTGTACATATATGCAAATATATATATATATACACGCATCTACAGTGTATACAGTATATATAGGTGTATATCTATAGGGTGTACAGACCAATATGTAGGTGTGTATATGAGGCTGTAAATTGTGTGTGTGTGTATATATATATATATATGTAGTTATGAATTTGAGAGAGGAGAGAGCTGGTACCAAGAAATAAATGACGTGGGGTCTGTACGTATGACACATACAAGTATGCGTACGTACACAGGGTATCTTACGAGCGGGCTGTGCACCCTCACGCGGTGTTTCCGTACCTGTACCGCATGTGTAGGCAGGGCTCCAGCGCTCCCGCGCGGGGCCCGGGCGAGCCCTGCGCTCGCGCCGCGCTCTCCGCGAGCCTCCCCCACACGGGGCCAGGCGCAGGCGGAGTGACTCAGCTGCCGGGCGGGGTGGTGTCCGGACAGTGTTTGGCGGAGATAAGACCCCCCCCTCAACATCCTCTCTTTATTCCGGGCTTTTTGTTTGCTTTTGTCCTGACACACAAAACAAAAACTGCTCCGGGGACTGCAGCGGCGAGGCAAGTGTAAGAGGGAGAGCGGTGATGACAGAGGAGAGGTGTGCCAAAGTAAGTGACCGAGTCAGTCCCCAGGGCTCCTGAATGGAAAATACGGGATGGGAGCTGTGCCCATGTGCATATGCTGGGACCCACCCATAAACTCTGCAAGAAGCTTGCAGGAGTTTCTACCATTACTTCCTACATCTTCCTGAGTATTTCTCACCTGTAACTAGGTTAACCAGGTGTCCGCACATAAATGGTGTGTGGGCAGTCACGCCTCCGAATTTTCTCCAGCCACGCTGGATGAGCTGTGACTCTTGAGACCGTGTAGTCGTCACCCGTGCTATTCAGTTCTGATACCCTGTGCCTTTAGTGATGGCACTTATTACAGTGCACCTCTGCATAAACAATTTCTCAATGTGCACTTTCAATTTTGTATCTTGTCTCTAGGCAAGAAAGAAGCTTTAGTGGGACATGAGACCTCTATGAGCATGAACTTCATTTATCCTGAGATCTTTTATGCTTATTACCTGCTTTCTAATTGCCTTATCCAGTTTAAAGTATCTCCCTACAGTTAGATTCTTTACTTGACAAGCAGTTTCCTTATGTAAGACATATCAAGTCCTTGATGCATTTCTTTTGTTACAAAGTTCAAAACATACTTGCTGGAGTCACCTGTACACTCCTGTAAGAGTAAATTTACATCACTAACAATTAGTAGTACTGCTGTCATTTTTGAAGGTAAATTTTAAAATTATTCTTCCAATATTGACCTTGTTAGGAATTAGAGGTTTATTAATATATCTGTATATTTTATATATATATAATATAAAGGTAGCTGGATGGGAATACCTGAGTGGGAAAATAAATTGTATAAAGTCATCTTAGCAGAAGACACAACTGGTACAGTAAAATTAGGAAATGAGGTACAGGAAAAACATTTTTTATCTTGAATTTGTGTGCATATATTGTGCAGGTTTTCTAGCAAAACCGTCTGAATTTTTACCTTGGAACACTGGAACGATAAAGCTCTTTTTATCTCAGACAGGGTCTGTTGTGCCTTGCCTTGGAATATTATCAGTGTTATGCAAGTGCTAATAACATTTAGTGTTTTACAGCAGCTTCTTTCTAAGTGAATCTGCAGAGGGAGTGATTACATGCTGTAGTATTCTAAAATTTACATTTTAAAGCTGTTTCTGAAGATGAAGCCTCAAAACATCCCTATCAGTTGTTTCCAAGGTCTCTCTCTTTAATATTTCCATGTCAGCTCTGGCCTGTATTAGTTCCTCCACTGACCATCAGAGCTGTTAGAGAATTGCTTGGAAAAAGCAAAAGTAGCTCAGATCTTTGGGTGCAGCTTGCAACTACAGGTCTCTGTGAACAGGACAAAAGCAGATCCACCAAGAAGCCATTCATTGCCTCTGGAAAAGTGTGACTTTTCAAAGTCACTGTCACAAAAGGACTGGGATTGCCTGTGAGGATGTGGTCAGCAGTGGAGGACAGAGCCTGCCTGGCCTGGTGTAAGGCCCGATGGTGCCAAGTTAGCCCACCAAAATCTGGTAGCAAATTTGATGTGGCAGGACAGAGTAGGTTCAAGCAGAGTCTGCACCACACATTATGCTGCCACAAAGCTTCTCATCTGCTGTGACCAGAGCAACTGGAGTGCTGTTACCAGATTTATTGTGTCATCAGAATGCAAGAAGTACTTTGAGATGGAAATACTTTTAAGTTCTTTAGAACATATAAAAATAAGCCCAAGTTATATCAGGTAATCAAACCAGCTGTTAAAGCTGGTTTACCCACAGCATGACCCACTGAAACCATTTTCACTGTTCCCTGCAGGTGGAGCAGTATGTTGGTGAAATTAAAGGTGGCCTGAGACCAACCATGAAACTCACAGTCATAGGCATGGTACACTCCAAACCCAAGAGGTAGGTGAAGGGACTGCTGGGGGCTTCACCCTGTTATACATGCTCCTACCTGTTATAATAGGGCTTTGAGCAATTCTAAATTCAGACACTTTCTTGGAAGTATGTGCTCTTTGATGGAAGAAAGTCAAACAGATTAAAAATTTATGGCCTTATTTAATTTTTCTGCACTCAGACTAAGATTAAAATGTCAGGGAAGAATTCACTGCTCGGCCTTTCTGACTGCCCTGACAAGATTTTCTACTCCTTGCCCTTATCTAATATGAACTGGAGGGAACACACAAGTGGCATTTCTCTTTCAGGAAGTGGTGCAATTCTCAACCTGAATCTTGGTTGTCTGTGGGGGGTTAGAATCAACACCATTTAAAAACCAGTTTTGGCACAGGAGGTGAAGGTTCATTGTTGTCTTTTATCTGGATAACAGCAACTGTGCTCATCATTACACAGTTTTTGCATCTACAGCTATCAGCTCCACTGCTTCCACTGGTGAAGAGTATGCCATAACCTTTTTTAGGACACAAATGAGTACATTTTGAAGGGTTTGATTTCAGTCAAGACAGAAGGAGAGCAACATTAGATATCACTAGCATTCTACTGGACACTGGGGCAGGAAACAAAGACCAGCCAAGTCTCATCCCTTTCTCCAGCTTCTAAGCCTGTATAAGTCTTGTGTTTCAGTCTGACATGGAACCAACAGCTGTCTCTAGTCTCTATAAGCATCTGCCATGTTCATCATGTCCTTTCACATTTCTGAAAGTTCCAGTCACTTAACAGATCTTTTTTCAGCTTTTCAGTGACTCTGCTCTGTGATCCAGTGGATGTCAACAAAGATGTTGGGCTGTTATTTACAGTTAACTTCAGTGAGAAATCCATCACCCGAAATGCACGAATTGCTGGGAAATGGGGAAGAGAAGAGAAGACTATTCCCTACTTTCCATTTACAGCAGGTGACACGTTCAAGGTAATTTTTCAGATACTATGAATAGTGTAGAGAAAAGGAGGGGAGAAAAGCTAGAAGCAATGTATATGACCACCAACAGCCAGCCACTGACATTGCCAGGTTAACTAGTCTAGTTAACCTGCTGTCTAGTATAGCACAGACAGCAACAGTTTGAGCCCTGATGGGAACGAGGCATCCCTTTCTCTAATCATAGTTAAGAGTACCCACTGGAGCTCTGCAGTATCATCTCAGAAGAGGGTAGGTTATTTATTAGGGGCATTTCAGAAGAACTGGTAGACTTTGTGCTTTGCTTTGTGGTTTCCCGTAACATTTAGTTCTAAGTCCATGCTGTTGAAATGAGCCCTGCTGCTGATCTCCAACAGCCTTGCCTATCCTTTTCCACTGCAGATGGAGCTCTTATGTGAACACCAGCAAATACGAGTCTTGGTTGATGGACGGCAGCTCTGTGACTTCACTCACCGCATTCAGCCTCTGAACCTGGTGAAAGCTTTGCGAATCTCAGGGGACATCAAGCTTACCAAAGTGGCTTGAAAAAAGGAGACCAGGATATCACCAGAGGACAGAGGAAAATGTACTTTCTCTTGTCTCAGACCTGTTTTATCTTTTCCCCCTGTCTGATTCTGGAGCGTGGGATCTGTATCTTTTTAATTCGCTGATATGTTTGAGAAACACACTTTTTTTCCCCCATACAGACTCACAGCAATTGCAGAGCTATGGCTGGTCCAGATAAATCTCAAAGCCTTTGCTGAGAAACACTTCTGCCTCCCAAACTGCAAGATTTATGATGCTATGCAGTATCTCACATCCTTATGGCTCCTTACGCCCTCAGGCATGCCAGGTGGCAGAGCTCAGTCCACCCACCAGGTGGGTGGCTGTTGTTAGTTAGCTGTGTGACTAGAACTGGGCATTATGCAGGTGGTGGGTCTGAGAAAAGAGAAGCAGGAGATTTTCTTATAAATGAATTAGGGTGTCTGATGGGCCCCAGCAAGGCTCACGTTATCAGGAGGGGATTGCTTTTTTCTGGAAGCTCTGCTCAGTCAGCACAAAACATCTGTGCCTTCCAGCAGAGAGCAATAAATACCTTACCTGCCTTACCCTGTCTCTTCCAGGCAGCTTTTCCAGAATGGAAAGGTTTTGACAGCTGTGGATTTCACAGTCTTCTCTGGACCAGCCCTAAGACATGGTATCTGCAGCTGAAAATGCACTGCCCATTCTTGTTCTTGCATGTAATTAAAACTGCACCTTTGCTAGCAAACTTCTTTACAAGCTCTCTTAAATATTTGAATGCATGTAAGTGTTGTGCTGTTATTTCATTGCTGTAACTGTTGAGGAAAATCCTGAAAACATGGCTATTTTAATAAATAAACAAGCATTTATCATATTCTGGCTTTGGTGATGATGGGACTTCTTTTATGTACACAGCTCAGAGACCAAAACATCTGTACAGAAATGAATCTGTGGATAGAGGGTTATCAAATTCCTCTATGACTTCAGGGAAGATATTGAGCATGCTGCCTTTTTGAAGGCTTTAAAAAAAACCTGGCTGTCAGAAAAAGGTACTCAGATAAAACAAGAAATTTTATGAAAGTGGGTATCAGCAGCTGATTGGGTGTTTGAAGAACTTCCTACATTCCATTTTACCCTTTGGCATCTCAGTTTATATTGAAATCTAAAATTATAGTGTACTTAACCATTATTTTTTATTTACTCAAACTGCCCTCTGAGAAAAATCACATCTCTAAAAAGCACAGGATATTCAAATGCACTGGGTTTTTTTTATTTATGTTTTTATATTTAATGATATCAAAGACAAGATTAATAGACAAATAATGGAAAAAATAATGACTTAAGATAGAAAAAGCAATAGTGAGGACTGCTACTATAGTTCTCTGTCCAAATGGTGCTCCAACATAAATGGACTTACGGTAATTATCAGAAGGAAAAGTCTTGCTTTTATGGCTGAGGGATTTCTTCCAATATATTCATTACCAGAAATTGTCTGGAACTTCCACTGGTCTGCTTTGATACTCAGGATCCTGTTCTGATGTGGAACATTACCAGCATAAGAGTAATCTATATGGGTGAGGAACAAGATCCTTTGTTCTTTTCCATTCTAACAGAGAACTAAATAGTAGAGCAGATGGATGGACAGACAGACCCCTGTTTTGTTTTGCAATGCATATTATCCTGGCAGCTGGGTTGTGGCTTAGCACAAGATTCGTGTGATATGCCAAGAAAGGCAGCCTCAGACACCAGCACCTTTCATGACTTAGATGTTTCAGTCTTAACTAGCTAAGTTTATGAGCCCCTTTATAAAGGGGGAAGGAGCAAGACAATTCTGCTTTAAGATAAAGCACAACCTGGATCTGTCAGACATAGACTGAATACTTGTACAGAAGATCCTTTTCTTCCATCTTGGAATATCTCGGCATTTCTTCATGAAGCCCCATTTGTCTGTATCCACCTGTTTTGGTCTCTTGGTTAGATGATAAATTCAAGGTGGGGTATTATTCTGGATCTACTTGATTTGGTCTGCCAGGACCTGGTAGGTGTTATGGTGATTCAAATAATGAACATTGACTATCCAGGGAAAAACAACACTCCCGGACAACGAGAGCAGGAAGTTGGTCATAAATGTGGTTTTAAGTTCTTTAGAACATATAAAAATAAACCAAAGTTATATCAGATGATCAAAGCAGCTGTGAAATGTGGACTCATTTGGCATGGAGTCCACATTGCTCATGTCAGTGGTTTGATTGCCTCAATCCACTGCACTCGCTCTGCCTTGGAGCTGGCCTGGATGTAATAATGAATGTCATTTTTGGTGATGATTTTGAAAAGGTTGCCTTGCACATTGCCCTTCACTCCTGCAGAGAAAAAAAAAGCCCAACAGATCAGCAGGGTGCACAGAGAAAAATCTTTCTGGCAGATATGAAGCTTCACAGGGAAGAATTTGAATTTCATAAATTAGGGAATCAAATCTTTCCTTTTTATTACAGATAAGACATCTAAAGTTTTTGTGTCTTTGATTTCCCTCTTCAAAACCTCTAGAAGTGTTCAAGGCCAGGTTGGATAGGGCTTTGAGCAAACAGGTTAAGTGGAAGTTAACCCTGTCTGTGGCAGGGGGATTGAAACTAAATGATCTTTGGGGTCCCTTCTAACCCAAACATTTGTTGATTAAGTGATTCTATGAAAATACAGTATAGACACTCTTGCCACAGATTGTATGAACTACTGTGCACTCTACAACATCTAAAATAGTCTCTGTTTAGGTGGAGACCATTACTTGAGTTATACACTGAAAGAATGATGAACCCCTACCATTTTGCACGGCAGATTAGATTTTCTCCTGCCCATAGCTGGGTTCCTCTTAGCAAGGAGCTCTGTCATTCATCATGTGCCCCTGCCCCCAGACCAAAACTTTTTCAGACGTTCTCTTTAGAAAATTGTTCTGTATTTGATATCTACACATTGTGCTTACTGTCATAAAATAAATTGCTTTAATAGAAGAAACACTTACCTATGAGGCTGAGGCTCTAGACAAATGCCTGAACTAAGCCTATACTCCAGCAGAACTGGTTTTTTTATTGCTGTCTTTATGTCTCCCCTACATTTGGGTTCTAGCAGGTCAGAAAGGAAAAGGCTGAGAGGACACGGAAATGGATGGCATCAGAGGATGCCTCAAGACTTTGAGTTAAACAACACCCAAAAAGAAAGTGGTTTCTCTTTGTCTGTTAACTCTGGAATATTAATCAGTCTTAGGACTGTCTCAGAGGTCATATGACTAAGAAAAGCCCATATAAAGAGAACACCCAAGATGTGCAGAAATAACACTAAAAAAAAAAAGAGTCCCCTTTGCTGTGGACAACCCAGCAGCACAGACACTTGTGACATGCCTCTTCCCTTGCTTGCAAAGGGAAATGGAAAGTCAGCCCACCTGCGCATACAAGCAGCCATATATACAAACCCATACCCAAAGACTGTATTGTTACAGAATACATATAAATGTATGAAAGTTCAGAGGCTTGTGCTCACCTGCTGGGACTCCATTGTCCTCCAGAGCTGAGACAAGACAGCCACGAAGAGAGAATCCACCTACTGGCTTGTTATCTTCCTGCAAAGAAAAAGGAAACAAGGCATAGCTGGAAAATGTCACCATTTCCCAGAGCACATGCATCACTTTTATGAAGTTGGAGACATAATGGCAGTTTTTCCAGGCATGAAACATCTATGTCACAAGAGAATCAATTAGAACATGTAGTTAAAGGCATTGCTATATTTTTTCAGTCCCAGATGTTTCTCTGATGTAGCTGGGCATGGTGTAGATCAGTTAAAAGCATAAGGGTAGGCAATCACACTTTAAATGTACATATGGTTTTATCAGTAATAACATTCTGGATTATATATATTTCTGTAAGTATTTAGCTTGCTGTTTTTCACTGAGACTGTATGGGAAAAATCTGGTTCTTTTCCCTAGCTGGCTGGCACTCTTATTTCTTGCCTTCAGGTTCTGCAGTTTCAGCTTATAGCCTTACAAGGATAATTTGCAGTGGAAAAAAAAAAAAAAAAAAAAACCAAACCCAAAACCATGAAGGAACATGAAACAAAAAATGAACTGGCTCCATAAGCTCTTTTCACTGGTATGTTGTTTCTATTCTCTTTAAAAGTCACATAAAGCATTTCTATACATGTTCTTGCAATCCTGTTTGGCTTTGTGGTACCCTAAGTATCTGAGTTGCTCCCATTGATCATTATATTAATGAACATAAATTCTACTTTTGATGAGAAAGTTTAAAACTGAGTAGTAGAAATTCCTATAAATACTTTGGCATTAAGAAGACCCTATTCAATGCTGGAATAAGGATGTAAAAAATCCCAGAACCAGTATGATCCTCAAATGGTGGGATTTGAGCCCAGAGAGGTCACAACCCAGGAAGAAACCCTGCAGGACCATGGTCCCAGACTGTGAGGGTGCAGCAAGAAAGCAATCCCAAGACGACTGCTGCTGCTCGGCTAAGAAAAAGGAATCTCACTGGGAAAAAGGACAGAAGATGCAGGGGTATAAAATCCTACAAGGACAACCTCCTAGGGTAAGGCCAGAGAGGTCTAATTCCTGGAAATGGATAGAGGAACCCAGAGCGATAGAAACATTTACAACTTAAGTGTATCTTCACTATAATGTTTACATTTCTAAAAGGATTTCTGGGGATGGTAACTTCCCACTCACATACCTTGGTGGGATCATAGTAGTGTAAAAAAGCAGGATCAGCTCTCAAAACAAATTTTCTCACCTTCCAGTTTTTCCTCTTGTGCCCCTGCAAAATGGAAGAATTAAAATCACTACCTCCTGAAATGATCATTTTCCTACAGGCTGTAGGGGAGATATAAATAAATACCAAAAGAGGGTTTGGACTCAACAGAGAAAAATAATTCCTAACATCTTGGTAATTCCCATGACCTTCTGCTTATCCTTCTTCTTCATACATTGACAACTCCTTCATCTCTTCCTTGCCTGTGCTGAGAACTAAGAAAGCAGAGTGACAGGAACAAATGTGTTATATCCCTCATTCCTGCTTTTCATTTCAGATTAAAATTCCATGCTGTGTGCTCCAAAGGGGTTATGTCAGGTCCTTATGCAGCTCTTTACTCTTTCACTGCAGCCCTCAAATTGCTGCCAGGCCTGTGCCAGGCCCTGGGATCTTCTCCTCTCCTGGAGCTTTGGTGCTGGGGCTCAGGGCCAGCCCGGGGCTGGGGCTGCTGCGGGCTGCTGTCCCTGGCTGCTGCTACCCATGGGCAGAAGCTCCTGGGCAGCCCTCATGTCCTGTGCTGATGGGGGCTGCCCTGCCAGCCTGTGGGGATCCCTGCATACCTTCCTGATGCCCTGGCAGCTGGAGGAGGGAGGGCTGGGAAGCATCTGGTGATCCAGTTTGCACAACGCTAAGGGTGGGGCTCGGTACAAGGCTTCAGAGTAAGAGTGTGGCCATGCAGTGCAGGTTGGATTCCTTTTGCAGGCAGCTGTGTTATGCTTTGAAAATGATTGACCCTCATCTTGTTCATAGCAAGCATTGGAAACTACATTTTGCAGACCAAGGGTCAGATCTTGGAAACAGTTATTGCCAACAGGTACTTGTGCCCAAAAAACACGTTTCACTACCACCAAAGCACCCAAGTGTACATGATGACTGCCCACAGGTAAATGTCCACTTCCTACAGAGGTCAAGCTACTCAGCTTTGAAAGTTGGCTGTGGCCAGCAACACATCCTCACTGTTCACATCACCTGGATGGGATAGGTTAAACCAAAGGAACGGTGGCTCTGCTTGGAAGTGAATGTAACACTGTAGTTATAATATTTTATGAAAAATCCTTTGCTAGGATTTTTC